CTCTCCCAGTTTTCATTCTATTTTAAATTTTCTCAATGATTTAATATATATAATTTTGATTATAATGTTAATTTCTGAAGTTTATGAATATTTGGTGTAGGTGCAAAATTTAGCCGTAACACGGCTGTGCAACCAGCGAGTGATAACTGCTGTAAATGGGAAGCTACCTGGCCCAACCCTTTATGTTCATGAGGGTGACACTGTTATCATTCATGTCTTTAATAAGTCACCTTACAACATCACCCTGCACTGGTAAACTCTTGATTATGATCACATACATACCTCAACTTTTCTTTTCTTTTCTTTTCCCCCTTTTTTAATGGATAAACTTAAAATTGACTTTGACATCTATGAGGGAAGAACTTTCTTTAACAATAAATTTTCCACCTAGCTATTTTAATAAATAAAAAAGCTTTTTTCTTCTTATAATCTATCTCGTTTTCTTATGAGACCTAACCCCGAATTTATTCGACTTTATTTGTCGACTATCAAAGTTGGTAATTAATTTCAACTACTGCTTAGAAGTTTAAGATATGATAGACACAGTTATCTAACGTTTTTCATTTTTTCTAAATATGTTTTATTTCTTGTGCCTAAGTTAATAGGACAAATGTTGTCTATGCAGGCATGGTATATTTCAGAAACTTAGCGGATGGGCTGATGGACCGAGCATGGTAACTCAATGTCCCATACAACCGGGACATCAGTATACATACAAATTCAGAATCATCAATCAGGAAGGCACCCTCTGGTGGCATGCTCACTCCTCATGGCTACGTGCCACTGTCTATGGTGCACTCATCATCCGCCCCAAACTCGGTCACTCCTACGCTTTCCCCTTCCCTAAACCTCAAAAGGAAATACCCATTGTATTAGGTAATTAATTAATAATCAATTAACCACTTTGTTAATAATCTCAATAACACTATTGAATCAACAAATTGATATTTATTGCAGGTGAGTGGTGGGACGCCAACCCCAATGACGTCGAGAGCCAAGCTCTTGCGACAGGAGCTGCTCCGAACAATTCCGACGCTTACACTATCAATGGGTTGCCCGGAGATTTATATAAATGCTCTAAAAATCGTAAGTGATTAATGAACTTAACTCTTGGGTTTTGATAATTAATTAATTGATTAATTATCTTTATTAAGTATCAAATGGGTTTTTACCTTTTAACAGAGACATACGTGCTTAATGTGAAGAAAGGAAGGACCTATCTCCTACGTATAATCAACGCTGCACTCAATAATCAGCTTTTCTTCAAGATAGCCAATCACAAGATGACGGTTATCGCTGTCGACGCTGGCTACACCAATCCATACGTCACTGACGTCGTCGTGATCGCCCCCGGCCAGACTGTCGATGTTCTTTTAGTAGCCAACCAGCCGGTGGGATCTTACTACATGGCCGCCAGACCATACGCTAGTGCACCCGGGGTTTTGTTCGACAACACCACGACGAGGGGCATAGTCGTGTATGAAGGCGCCGCTTCCACCACAACTCCCAAAATGCCCGCCTTCCCAGCTTTCAATGACACCCCCACGGCCAACAAGTTCTACACTAATTTAACAGGATTGGTAGTTGGGCCTCATTGGGTCCCTGTCCCAACCAAGGTGGACAAGCGCATGTTCATAACGGTCGGATTGGGCCTGGAAACCTGTCCTAAAAACACCAAGTGTCAGGGCCCGAACGGAACAAAATTCTCTGCCAGCATGAACAACGCCTCCTTCGTCCTCCCCACCCGTCTGTCCATGCTTCAGGCGTTCTTCTCCAACGTCGGCGGCATTTACACCACCGATTTCCCCAGCCGACCGCCGATCAAGCTTGACTACACAAACTCCAATATCAACAACAACAACGCCTCGCTGTTCGCGCCAAAATCAACCAAGGTCATTAAGCTCAAGTACAATACCACGGTGGAGGTGGTCTTCCAGGACACCGCCTTCATCGCCGTCGAGAACCATCCCATGCACATCCACGGCTTCAACTTCCACGTGCTGGCGCAAGGGTTCGGAAACTATGACCCGTCTAAACACCGGAAAATGTTCAACCTCGTCAACCCACATATGAGGAACACCCTCGCCGTGCCAGCCGGAGGTTGGGCTGTCATCAGATTCAGAGCTAATAATCCAGGTAAGTTAATTACTAATTTGTCTGAAAAAGGTCAAACTTTGACTAACGGTTGTTGGAATTCAGCGAATCACAATTAGACACCTGGATAAGTTCCGCGAGTTCTATAATGCAGTTGTTGGGTGTTCGGTGAATATTTAAAAAAAAAAAATCTGCCGAAACCTGAATATGGACGTAATTTTGTACACAGGTGTATGGTTCACACATTGCCACCTGGACGTGCACTTGCCATGGGGACTGGCGACAGCCTTTGTGGTGGAGAACGGACCGACGCCGTCGACAACCTTGCCTCCACCGCCGGCGGATCTGCCACAGTGCTAATTACCAATTGACTGCGGAGAAACAGAGAGCTGATCCATGAAATTCATCAAGTACCATTGATACTGTCATAAAGTATTTTTCTCTTCAATTTCTAAA